TATAAAGAAAGTTAGGTAAAGTAAAATCAAGTAGGGAAAAAATTTTCCCGCCTAAGTGTGAATGCTTATTAATAGATTTGTAAGATCATTATTTTTTATTTTTTTTTTTTTGTGTAAACCACGAGGTGGTCTGGCCTTTTTCTGTCCGTTTAACTTTGTAAAATCATTATTGCAAATGAGATTAGCAATATGAATGCATTTATTGTCTTAACATTTAAATATTACATTTTTGTATAACTATACTTACATTTTTAATAAAACTAAATTTTGCTTTGTATCAGAACATTACAACAATACTTATAAATTTTTGTCCGTGCATCACACGGGGCAAATACTAGTATTACTCTTAAATAATAAAATTCTTTATTATTTACTAGTATGATACCCGTGCGATGCACAGGATGAATATTGTTCATCCTATTGTGTAATTGTGTGAAAAATTTAAGAGATGATGTAATATATAAAATGTTGAAACAGAAATATAAAATGGAAAATAGAAACAATAAAGAAATTACTTTAACATACAATATAGAAAAATAAGAGTGACAAAAGTACAAATTATTGAAAATTTCATGGTATACCACATTGGTTGTTGATGTAATAGAGGAAATTGAGTTCTTGGCAATCAATATTTGAAGACCACCTGGGTTGTTAACTCGAGAAGCAGCCACGTACAACTGACCATTCACAAAAACTGGTTTTTTAAGTAACAATCCTACATGTGACAATGTTTGACCTTGACTTTTGTTAATAGTCATTGCATATGATAACATCAATGGGAATTGTTTTCGTTGAAACTTGAATGGCAACCTGATATCAGAGGGTGACATTGACATTCTGGGGATCAACACTTTGTTCCTTTGTTAGCACCATCCATTAACTCAGCTTCAATTACACGGTCTGCTAACTTGGTGATTACCAACTGCATACCAATACACAATCCAACTGAATGATCAACATTTCTTAACAACATGATTTGCGAGCCAATTTTTAAAGTTAATGAATGATTTGGTACACCTGAAGCTCTAATGCCGTTCAAAAATTTCGGTGTGTGTACATCACCCAGTATTCCAATGTCTGCATCGGCTTTGCACACTGTATCACAACTAAAATATGTTATACTTTCAACTGTATGCAACTCACTCATATGTTGTACATTTTTGCACGACAAAACTGAATGAGTAAAATAACTGGATTAGGGTTGTCATAGTTGACATGTTGTAATAGTTGATCAACATATTGCTCTCAAAATGTGCAAGGTAAACGTCTCTCTCTGAAAAGAGAAAAAAAAATGATTGTTATAAGGTGTACACACATTAGGAAACACATAAAATCCATGATTAAGTGTAAAGTTGATTAATATAACATGACTTACTCATGATCCTGAAGAACAAAGTGGATGAACTTGGTCTCCCCGTCCATTAATTATGGTTGTACGTGGAGATTCAATCGAGACAACAAAATCAACCAAATCTATAGAGATTTATCATTATAACAATAACTACTATATATATATATATATATATATATATATATATATATATATATATATATATATATATATATATATATATATATATATTATACTTGAAATGATAAACGAAATGAGGACCGTAAATAAGTATTACGAAATAGTTCGGAAGCATTAATTTGGGTAGGACCAAGTTGATTGAAAGCTTTCAACATGTATGTCATGTTTGGAAAACTGTTATTGTTATATTGAAAGACTTTTGTAGAATGCATGAACAAGATCTTGTATTTGTGGTGCGTAGTTTTGTATCTCAAGTCATTTGTTACAACGATAAAGCTTTTAAAGGAGTACAAATGACCCTCAAAAAAGATTTTTTTTTTTTTAAAAATTCATCAACTTGAGCCTTTTTTATTGTTGCATGTATACGCGTACCCTAAATTAGCAAAAAGTAAAAATTTAACGGAAATCTATATTATAATAGAATACGAAATACATGAATATGTGTTATATAACAAACATAGTAGCATGTGAATTATAAAACTAAACTTAATAAAAATATATATTAGGATTGAATATATTAAGAAATAATATATATATATATATATATATATATATATATATATATATATATATATATATATATATATGTGTGTGTGTGTGTGTGTGTGTGTGTGTGTGTGTGTGTGTGTGTGTGTGTGTGTGTGTGTGTGTGTGTGTGTGTGTGTGTGTGTGTGTGTGTGTGTGTGTGTGTGTGTGTGTGTGTGTGTGTGTGTGTGTGTGTGTGCACGAAAATATGATCTGTATATATCTATACTAAAAGTGAAGAATATATCTCAGAATCATGAAACACACACTCCAAAGTATGAGAATTGTAGGTGTTATTGTTGAATGTTGATTCATACATTCGGATTAGACGAACTTGTATCGCCCAATTCGTGAAGGTAGCGATGACTTGGTTAAGTAGATTGAAGGTGGGAGTCATATTGAAAAGTTGAAAAGTT